CAAATATACTATTTTTCATCGCCTTCATAAAAAAGATAAAACCCCTATTGCACTTCCAAAATTTATTATTGGAGAATACATCGTAAAAAGAGAATGTTCAATGAAATTTCTAGGTGTAATACTAGATGAAAACATAAATTGAAAAAACCACATAAACATGATTGAAAATAAAATTTCTAAAAATATCGGATTACTCTATTAAGCAAAACCATACTTAAATCATTCATGTTTGAAATACATATATTACTCATTTATTCATTCCTATCTTAATTATGCAAACATTGCATGGTGCAGCACCAATAAAACAAAGACAAAAAAGCTATTTAGCAAACCAAAACATGCAATCAGATTATTATCAAATATACACCGCCTCTCACATTCTAGACCATTGTTCAACAATCTAGAAATTTGTAACAATTAAATATATTTCAACTGCTAATTTTTATGATTAAAACTAATAATAACACAATATCAAATATCTTCAAACCATTATTTAATAAAATTCAACACAAATACATGGCTAAATATTCAAATAACAACTTTGTTGAACCCAAAACTATATATGAGTCCACTAAGTTCTCAATAACTATTAGAGGACCTAATGTATGGAATAAGTTAATTAGTAATGATATTAAAACACTTACAACTTTTGAACAGTTTAAACAAAAGCTAAAGCTGTTGCTTTTAAATAACAATCAAACAGAGAATTGTTCTAAAATCTATCTTTAAAAAATATTATATTTGAAAATTATCTATTTGTGCATATTTTATTTGTCTTGAAAGTTCTAAAGTCTTTAATTATATAATATTACAGTCAATTATATTATGAAAAAGTAATTATGGATTTACAGCATTTATGTACGAATGTGTGTGTATGTGTATATGTATGCGTTCGCAAGTGTGTATATGTATACACATATACATATATACATACATGTATATGTGTATGTGTATATATATATATATATATATATATATATATATATATATATATATATATATATATATATATATATATATATGTATATATATATATATATATATATATATATATATATATATATATATATATATATATATATATATATATATATATATATATATATATATGTATATATATATATATATATATATATATATATATATATATATATATATATATATATATATATATATATATGATATATATATATATATATATATATATATATATATATATATATATATATATATATATATATATATATATATATATATATATATATGTATATATATAGTATCTTTTGATTGTAAATTATCTTTTATATTTTCATTTTTCATGTTTTTTTCTTTTTTCTTTGTTGTTGCTGTTGGTTTTTGTTTTCTTGAATGAGTTATTAAATTTTCTTTCAATGAATAATTTCAAAATTTGAATATAAATACCATTGCATTACCGTAAGTTAACCCTCATGTTATTGAGAACTTTTATTAAAAATAACATTGTAAGACTCTATTAAACTATTTTTCATTATGTATAAACGTCTTTGAAACATTTTGCTTTTTTTTCTCATTTTTAATTTTTAATTTTAGTTACAACGTATTTATATAAATGTCTTGAAAAAACAAGGGACTTGGTGATAAGGCATACCTGTCTTCTTCTCGTCCTTGCCATTTTTATATATATTATGAAACACGGAACTTGTAAATATTTGTACGGCTAAATAAATGAGAATATATATATATATATATATATATATATATATATATACATATATATATACATATATATATATATATATATATATATATATATATATATATATATATATACATATATATATATACATATATATATATATATATATATATATATATATATATATATATATATATATATATATATATATATATATATATATATATATATATATATATATATATATATATATATATATATATATATATATATATATATATATATATATATATATATATATATATATATATATATATATAAGGCTCCTTAACAGTTTCCCCATCAACTTACATTTCTTAGAATCATAAAACATTTCAAAAACAAAAGAATTTTATTCTTCATTAACTTAATTCGTCCATTCATTACATCAACAAATTTTTTGAAACCTCCCCCCTCCCCCTTGTCAACAATTTGTCAAATTTCCAGAGGCCCTTCCCTATAAAATCACATCAACTTTTGATTACCCCCCTTCCCCCATACAACGAAACTACACTACAAACTCTGCCTAATTTTCCGTTATTTAAGCAATGAAACTCAAAAAAAAAAAAAATTGCTGACGTCAACTAACCCCTAATAACTTTTCCATTGAAATACTATTGTATGTATAAAGTACTAATCGGTTGTTTGTTGAACCGGTTGTATACATGCTAAGCTAAAGATATGATAAGAATAGCAATAATATATTAAAACTAATATTAAAATATCGCATCCTGATGTAAGATGGTTTGGAAGAAATTTGACAAAAACAAACAAGAATTAGGAAAACATATCAGCATTTCTTTTTTTTATTTTTTTTTCACAAAATTGTTTGTAAATGAATGTCTACTTCCTATCCTAAAATTTATTATTATAGATTAAAAATTTATGAATACGTCGAACAAATGAAGATTTTTAATCACATTTCTTCAAAAAATTTTAATGAAAACAATGTTGATAAAAGTGCTCCTAATCAGAAAACACGCGCTACCTTTGTATTCCATTTTTTAAATAATTTAAACCAGCTGTAACTTCCCGTAAACCCAAGTCAATCCCAGGCTTAAACCCAGATTTAATTTGCGGTGATATCGTTACACCAAATAGGAATTTTTTAACCAGATAAAATCCTGGCCAAGACATATCCCAATAACACAGATAACTTGCAGCTGGAACCCTGTTGTACTTGTTTACTGGTACAATAAACATAACAGTATGTGTTTTAATCTGCTTTTTTTTATTGATGGTATCAGGTGGTACAATTAATACAAAACTATAAACGCAGCAGTTACAAACGAGAATGGTTTAACAAAAATATGGGACTGAAAAGAACTTTTCACAACATTATTTCTATCAATTTTATATCAATTCAAAAAAAAAAAAACATTTCAAAATTATAAAAAAAAAGTTTAATTTCTCAATGTGTTTAATAATGAAAAAAAAAACTTAATGCTTAACTACAAGGATTAACTACAAAAAACTTAAGGATTAACTACAAAAACTTATGCACATTTACGTTTCAGATATTTGAAAAGAAACAAAATATGCGATTATAATATTTAATATAAAAACAAAAAGGGCTTTTTGGATGCAACTTTTTTTCAAGCAGACATCGTAATTTGACGATTCATTAACTAGAAGTAAAATTAGAAACAAGTGTTAGCGGTTTTAATATGCCAAATTTCAGCTTTTGTGATTTTTTTTGTTTCTCCCTTACCGAGGGCGCAAAATATGCCCAGAGTTTTAACCAATGCGCAAAATATGCAAAGGCTCCAACCACTGCGCCATAATCGCTCTATTTAAAAATTAGATCTAATAATAGACTGTTATTCCTAATTATAGATAGAGAAAGTATCAATTTCTGATGTTTTGCGCCTATAAATAGTCCAGCTTTGCGTTGATTTCTCAAAATCAATTTATTGGGATTTTACATCTTTTGAAAAATTACTCCATATATGTGCATTAACTACTGAAGTTTTAGAAATGTTGAATCATCATCAATCAAAATTTCATCGGTTATCATTGTAACAAGCTGTTGTATTTTATCTCAAGCACCTTTTTCAATTATTTGCAGTACAGTGGTTAGAGTGCTTTCTTAAGAACCAAGATTCGATGGTTTATCCAAGATTCAATGTCAGCTCTGGCCACATTTGCAACTTTTGGTAAGGAAGATTTCAAGAGCCTCCTTTTTAATGTTCTTTCGCATTGCTCTCTGATTAGTGTGTAAGAACTTCTTAAAGTTTTTTTTTCTTAAAGTCTTCTTATTTTAAATAAACACGCACACACACAAAAAAACTCCTTAGAGTTCAAAAAAAAGTTTTTAACTATTGTAAACGTTATTGTACATTTTTTTATTTTTATTTTCTTTCTTATTTCTTCATTTCATTGATGTACATATTATATTTTTGCTTCTCAAAAAAAAAATGCTTTTCTATACTGAATTTATATTTTAAAGTCAATTTATACTTGGGAGTCTTGACCTACAAAGACCAGCATCTAAAACAAGCTACTGAACAACTCAACTCTGAGTTTGTAGGTTAAGGAATAATAGAGGAATCTTAAGTTCAATACCACTATTATAAAAATAAAGTTTACAAACAAAATAACGTTTTTAACGTAAAGTTATATAAAGTAAAGTTATGCGTAAAATTATTTTGGGAGCCCTAGGATCTAGTGCAAGTGTTTCGGTAACCTTTTAATGTTTTTGAAATAAGTGATTTAATCAAGTTTGATTAAACTAAGAAAATAAGTTTTCTTAGTTTAATAAAGTTATTTTTTTTCTTTTTGATACGAATTCTATGACCATGTTATAAAAATCAATTGTTTTAGCAGTTTCGTTTTTGACGATGCCGGGCGCCAAAGCACGCGAATATTGTGCGGATTTGCGGGTTTACAATTTGCTATAGAAATAACAGATTGCAGTACTTTATTATGTATCAAAAAAATCAAATGATGACGTTGTTGTCGTTTATAAAACACCTAATTCTAACTAATGTCCTAATTGTTTGCGCATTTTGTTTATTATTAAGATTTTTAAATTGTTTCCTTTGAAACATTTGTTATTATGTTTTATATTAATTATTTATTAAGATGTGTATAAATCATTTATAACAATTATATTTTTATGTTATCACTTTTATTCAGCATTATATATTGTAATTTTATATTCAGTATTATCTACAATCTAGATTAAACAATGTTTCAGACAAAACGTTTATAAGAAAAATATCTTGAATAATTAAAATCCAGAAAACAGTTATTTACCTGTGAAATATAATTTCTAATCACGTAGAGAATACAGCTGTTGTTAGAAGCCTCCGCAATAAGTTATCAAAATAATTTCAGCATCAGGCTGGCTAAGTAAAGTTGAGCAGGGTCAAAACCACCAACCCTTCAGTTTGTTGGTAAGAAATTTCATAATATCAGATACGATATAGATTCGACAAATAATGCATATTTTTAATGCCATTTTGATGAGATTATTTTTTTAAAACCTCAGAATATTGTGTTTATTCTATTTTAATTATTGTACAAATTTCTTACCATGGTTATTTTACTTTTGAAATGGGTAGAAACATGAATTGATATTAATTTTATTATAAATTATATATTATTCTTAGTTTTAGAAATATGGTTTTTATGTTCAAAGCCTAAAATTATTACTCTGTTGGAAACATTATTAATTGCGTTAGTGCCATAAATAAAAAATAAATATATTCGAGTTAAAAGTTTTGCCGTAACAAATTATAAGAAATTAAACTATCAACCAACTAGATAGTCTATCAGCAAAAGAATTTAACAGTATCAGGTACTTTTAAAGTAACAGGTACTTTTCTTACTACTAAAATAATTGTTTTTTTGTTTTGTTTCTTTACAAAATAGTAAATCTTTATGAAATTTCTTTTTCTTTTCCTTTTAAACCAAAATAAAAAATTTAACGTAAGTTTAATTTTTTTTACAATCTGATTTAATTGCGCAAGTCACAAATTCAACTTTAAATCCAGTAAGTTAGACTTTTTTTTTTTTACCAATTTTTGTGTAATAACCATACCTCGCGGTGCAATTACTAAATATCTTTAAATTAGGCTGCAAGGGCTCATTTGCAAAAGCACTTTTAGGGGTAAAGATAATTTCAGATGGAGGCTTACTAATTTGCATAGTATTTATCATAAAGAAACGTTTAAAAACGACTGTTAAAAACAAACATAAGCATATAAAAAAAAAATTTTATGTTAGTAATAACTAGACTTGTAAATTAACAAAGTGGCAAATACCATTTAAGTGGCAAATACCATCAAGTTTAAAATCAACAAAGTGGCAAATACCATTTAAGTCGTAATTAAAGACTTGTCCACGAATAAGTCTTTCTTTACTACAATACTTTTAAATAAACCTTAAAATAAACCAAATTCAATAAACCTTAGGACTACTTTTGAGTTATGTTTTACGTTTGGATTTGAAAGTAAGGAGTTATTTAACAAATAACTCCTTACTTTCATAAGTTTATTAATTGTGGATTAAATATTTCGTGGTAATCAAAAAATAGATTTTTGATGCAGATTAGTTAACGGATTATTTACAAATTGTTTTAATGATTTTTGAAAAGAATTTAAAAAAAAATTAATGAGATAAATTTCAATTTTAATCTTTAAAAAATGTATTAGTCAATAACGGACTTAAATTGATTTATCGCTTTTATATTTATTTTGTTTCATGGTATTTATTTATATTATGAAAATAATGCAACGTTTTTAAGAAAATTTATATCTTCTTATATTATATTATATTTTATCATCAAAATATATATTTTTCTATTCTTCTGAGTATAAAATATGAAGTTTGTAACTTGTAGCAAGATTGCCGAGATAGCGTTTGATTGACTGAATTTTGTTAAATTTTTTTTTTTTTTTTTTTTTTTTTCTGTTTAAATTCTTATTATTTTAGAACTGATTCAAAGTTTTTTTGTTAAATTTTCTATTTTTCTATTTTCATTTATCAAAAAAAAAAATCGACAATAAAATAAATTATTTATAAAAAAAATGTTTACACTGTAATTAATAACAGAAGGAGATTAACATCATAACCTTTTAAATAGATCGTTAATAGAAATACAACATTGAGATTTAATCAAAATATTTATTTTTAATTGTTTCTTAAAAAAACTTATATTGAATCTTCAAAAATAAATACACATGCTATATTTGATATTCCATAAAGTGTTTAAAAATTTGATGACCTCCATAAAAATATGGCAAAAGAAAAAATTATGGCTTTTAAAATGATTGGCGAACAACATAAATATATATATATATATATATATATCGACGTATGTGTATATCCTTAAGAAAAATATGCAACTGGATCACATTCTAATACAAAATTTTTTCTCTATTTAACATAACATAAAAATTGTTTATGGAAAAAATACTGATAGATTTAAATTTGTGAGGGAGAGGGTTGAGATCAAACTTCACAGAACAGTAAGTTGTTGAGAAAATATTGCAACAGGCTATTAAATATATAGAATGTAGTTAGATGTCTATTATTTCAGCTTTAAAATAAAGATAACAAGGAAACAGTTTACTTGCAGCTGTAAGTAGATCTACTTATAAAGATAACGGGAATACAGTTTGAAATTTAGTGACTTGGATTCGTTCTCTTTAAATAATAAACAATTAAGTATATTTGGTTACAAATCAAAAACCAAATGCATTTCTCTAATTGTTTGCTACATTAAATACCTTTAAATTACCAAATTGCTAGTTCGAATTAATAAAAGTCTAATGTATTTT